CGCATTCATCAATGTTTTTAAGGCCAACTAATACAAATGAAATCATCAAACAAATTAATTCTTTAAAAGCTAACTCCTCTCCTGGAATTGATGGTATAGATTCAAAAATTGTCAAGTTTTTTCATAACTACCTAACTACCCCACTTGTACATATAGTGAATTTGATTTTTCAAACTGGTAAAGTTCCAGAAAGTTTCAAAACCGCAGTAGTTATCCCAATACATAAATCTGGGGATAAATCAGATATAAATAACTTTCGTCCTATCAGCCTTATCAATACGTTTGCTAAAATCTTTGAAAAATGCCTTAAAGATCGTTTGGTTAGTTTTCTTGAACAGGGTAAAATCATATCACCAAATCAGTTTGGTTTTATGCATGGTTTGAGCACCACAGATGCCATCTATGAACTGTCTAACTGCATAAATCAATCTTGACAAGGGACACAAATGCCTCGCTGTTTTCCTGGACCTTGCGAAGGCATTCGACACAGTGCCCCACCATTCACTTCTTAGCGTTCTCGATTGTTATGGAGTTAGGGGTAGTGTGCTGGATGTCTTTGCGAGTTACTTGGCGAACAGAACACAGGTTGTGAAAATTGGAGACTCTTACAGCGACCCTTTAAATATCCAAATTGGAGTTCCGCAAGGTACTGTTTTAGGACCTATTCTGTTCATCCTGTACATAAACTCCTTGACAAATATGGAAGTGGGTAATGGAACAGTAATGTCCTATGCTGATGATACTGTGGTGGTGTTTACAGGGACTTCTTGGTCTTCTGTTAAGAATTCTACAATTGAAGGAATGAGAAAAATAAAGATCTGGCTTGATTCATTCCAATTAACTCTAAATGTTTCCAAAACAAAATATATTGCCTTTTCCATTACTAATGTGAGCAGACCGGAGTATCACAGCATTAGGGTCGATAATTTTGATAGTGATATACTTGAGGTTGATTATATAAAGTACTTGGGAATCACAGTGGATAGGAACCTTAAGTGGGATCAGCATATACTTAGACTAACAAGCAACATCCGGAAATTAGTTTACAAGTTTTACATACTGAGGGACAATTGAAGCAAGGGACTTCTAATAAGTGTATACAGGGCGTTAGTTGAGTCACTGATAAGATATGGTGTGGTTGCGTGGGGTGGCCTTTACCAAAACTCTCTGAATCCATTGAACATAATGCAAAATTACATTCTAAAAATTATATACCGCAAAAACAAACTCTTTTTTTCCACCAACTTACTATATTCAGTAGACATTCTGAGTGCACGTGCAATATATTGCCTCACATCATGTTCGTATATTCATAAAACTCCAAGACTGAAACAATTTGTCAATCATAAGCATGAAACGAGAAGTAAGACGGGCATCAAAAAAATTGCGATCGTTCTCTTATCTTGGGCCAAAAATGTACAATTTATTACCACTAGAAATAAGGTCAATGCCAAGACTCAGTAGGTTTAATGACAGATGTAGAGTATTTATATATGATAATTTTGATAGATTCAGTTTACTATTCTAGCGGTTAGCATCAATTGTTACACTATCTTTGGGTAGGTGTATGTATATATATAATAGGTATATGTTTATTAATTATTAATTGTAGTGTTATAAAGGGAAAGAGGGATATTTTCAAACAATGTTGCACACACATTGCACATACAGGTGGTCTTGTCTACCTAGGTGCAATCTAAACTATATTTAAGACTTCTTAATTGTAAGCTTCTAGAAATAAGTCACAGCTCTGTAACATAGGAAAATCCAGTAATATATTTGATTTGATTTGATTTTTATCAAAACAGTTGGAATAACGTTTTCAAATTTTTTGAAGGAAAAACAAGAAATGCAATTTTTTCAATACAATCTATGGATTGGCCTAGTGATGTGAGTCGAGAATATTTCCATGGGAATATTCGCGAACATTGGGAAATTTCCGAGAATATTCGCCGATAAAAAAAGGAAACGTTCTCCTGAATGGGAATATTCCCATGAACTTTCAATCAAAAACTCGCAGAAGAATATTTCCGAGAACTATTGAGAATTTTTCAAAGAACTTTCCAGATGAATTTTATAAACATGTGAGATTATTGCGAATAAAAGGTCTCAGTGATGTCATTTCAATTTATGTAGATGACGTTGCCCTGTCCAACTGTTTTTACGGAAACGCTGATTCACCCGATTACCAGCTGATGTACCTACAGTTTGTCTTTTTTTTTTTAAGTGATCTTCATTGAAGAAAAATAAAAAATAAAAAGCTGAGAGATTGGGTTAATCGGATCAGCTTTTCCTTTAAAGCCTTATTCAACCGCCCATCAAAGTGAAAAATGAAACTATGTAGTTTCATTTTTCGCTAATCTCACAGAAAAAAAATAAGTTTTTTTCTTGATTTATAGTCTATAGTCAATACACTACAATAATAGGTAAATAAAGCTTACTACGATTTGTCCGATTTAGCTACAAATTTACAAAAAAAAAAAACAATATTTCCATAAGTCCCCGAAAGATTCCAATATTCCTGGTAATTTTCCGAGAATGTTCGCGGCTTTTGAATGTTCCGGGAATTTTACATCACTAGAATGGCGAGACTTTAGAGTTATTCAAAGTCAAAGTCAAAGTCAAAAAATGCTTTATTGTCTAAGAACAAAATTCTCGTTGACAAAGCTGTAAAAGGGGAAAAAAAAAAAACATTATACAAAAATAATTCCAGGGCCATAGAGTACCAAGATTGAAATAATCAAAATAAAAATACAATACAAGGTCAGACTAAAACAATAAAATCATTTAAACAGTCATTAAAACAAAAGATGAAGTCACTTTAAAAATCAACATAAATATAAACATAAATCAACATAAATACAAAAACATGTTCATTCTAAACTATAAAATACAAAATATCAAAATTGCACAAACGTAAAGTCAACAGACATAGAAGTCATTGAATAAAACTACAAATTATATTCAGACAGTCACAAGAAAGCATCTTGGAAAAATTCTTCTGTGCTATAGTAGGCCTTTGATAATAGAAGCCTCTTAAGATGTACTCTAAATTTTTTACCAGATACTATCTGTCTCAGATGCAGTGGCAAATGGTTAAAGATCTTTTTACTTTGATAGATTATCGAGTTTTTTGTTTGTGTGGAGGAAGGGATAGGAAGGTTCACATTGTGTGTTTGTCGAGTGGTATGTACAGATGAAAATTCGTGTATGTTTTCCTTAAACTTTTTATGAACGAGACATGAAGTCTCTAGTAAAAAAATACTAGGAAATGTAAGCAATTTATGACGCAAAAACAATGGTCTACATGAGTCTCGTAATCCTATCTTAAACATATACCTTACCGCCCTCTTTTGCAACACAAACAACATATTAAAGAGAGACAATGAACAAAAACCCCAGAAACATATTCCATACCGCAAATGGGATTCAACGAGAGCAAAGTATGCACTTTTTGTTGTCCCAAGATCTAGCTTACTCGATATTACTCTGATTGCATAACATCCTGATGACACCTTTTTGCTCATGTATGTTAAGTGAGGCTCAAATTTTAGTCTATCGTCTATGTATACTCCTAAAAACTTACTCGATTTTTGACTGGCAACAGTATCTGCCCCTAAGGTAATTCCCTCAAAACCACATTTAAATGTTAACACATTTGTCTTCGACACATTAAAAGTTAAACAATTCGCATCAGTCCATTCTTTTACCTTAACTAAATCATTATTGATATCTGATTTAAGCTGTTCTACATCCTTATTTACCCAGAGAATCGTGGCATCATCGGCAAACAGTGTAAATACCCCAACTATATCAATGCTAGACAGATCGTTGATGTACAATAAAAATAATAGAGGTCCCAAAACAGATCCTTGTGGAACTCCTGCACTTATAGCCAGTTGTTCTGAATCAACACCATCAAAAGTAACTCTCTGTGCCCGTTCAGAAAAGTAGGACTCAAACCACTTTAGAGCTACCCCCCTCACCCCATAGGCTTCCAGCTTACATAACATTATTTTATGATTGACACAGTCAAAGGCCTTTGACAAATCACAAAAAACCGCTGCTGCGACATCACCGTTATTTAATCCCAAATATAGTTTCTCCAAAAATGCGAAAATTGCATCATTTGTGCCACATGACTCCCGAAATCCAAACTGTTCACAACAGAGAATACTATGTTTTTTAAGAAAACACATTAAACGCGCCTTGACTAGCTTTTCTATTACTTTAGACATTGTAGGCAACAATGAGATTGGCCTAAAATTTGAGGGTGTATCGCAGTCACCACCCTTGTGAAGAGGTAAGACCCTTGCAAGTTTCAGACAGGAAGGGAAAATCCCTGATTGAAAGGACTGATTCACAGAATCAGCAAACACCTCTAGAACCGATTCGGGCAAATGCGAAAAGACCTTCAGCGTAATCTCATCCCATCCCGCAGAATTTTTATTTTTAATATCTTTTAAGGTGTCTCTGATTTCTTGTGTTGTAGTAGGTTTAAAGAAAAAAGACTCGGATACGCTTATGTGACTTAGATATTCTCTAGGGTTAGTCCCAGAACTAATTTTGCTAGAAAGAGAAGCCGCAATCGAACAATAAAATTTATTAATTTCCGTGGCAGTCAAATTTGAGTCCATTGGTGAAGTATTCTTTTTTCCTCTTAAGTTATTAACAATTCTCCATGATTCCTTAAACGTACTTGTAGGAAATTTTGTCTACTTTAATTTGGTATATCATAGTTATATTTAAAAAATACTTAGTTTCTGAGTTATAGTTGAAAACCTGAAAAAAGGGCCGAAAATTTAAGTTTTTTTTTGTAATTTTTCGTGTGAAGCCGACATCTGGCGAGGTGGCAAACCTCAGATTCGGATTCAGCACCCCAAAAAACATATAGAACCGCTAAGAAAAATACTTATACATTTTTTTCCTGAAAACGCTAGTTCTGAATCCTGGATCGTTGAACTATACGACTCCTACACAATTTTAAAATTAATTCTTACGTGATCACTCCAAGTTCCTGGTTAGAAAATGGAATATCTTCCAATTTTATTTCTACATTGCTTATCGAATAATCATCACTTCTTTCTTCAAATTCTTGTTTTATCACTAAATTGCCTGTGTCTGAGTCTGATCCATCTTCAACTTCACTTGTGTATTCTGTTTTTATACTTATTTTGGGAATATCATTCGATTCAGTTTCTTCTATGGGTTCGTCTTTCATTTTAATATCACAATAATTAACTGGATAAAGATTTTTAATATCCATTTTATAAATTAATATACATACAAATCAGAAATTAAATAATCGATTTTAAAATAAACCAATAACCAATCCAAACAAAGTAAGCCCCCCTTTTCATGCTACTGTTGTTAGGTAAATAAGCAACCACATTTTAACTGTTTGACATTTTTATTTGTACTTGCTACAACTGCTCCGAACAGATCAGAATCAAAAGCGATCCTAGAGCACTATGGACATGACGATCCAAACCATTCCATCATCACTTTTGGGAACGGAACTCACTTCAAACCACTCTTGCATTGGATGGTTAATGGATATTGTAACGAATAACGAACGAACTGTTCTGGAATTTGATATTCGAACGACCGTCGTGAGAAACTCGTTTTGCCCCAAAATGATAAGGGAACAGGTTCGAATCCAAAAGGGAAAATAAATAAATAATGGAACGTAGTCGCCGAAATTTTTTTTTGTTTGGTTGTTGTTGTTAAGGTTATGTTTATTATGTTTTGATTTTCAAAAAAAGTGTTAATGCGGGCTTGTAGAAAAGAATGGTTTAATTTTAGTTTAAACAATGGCAACTGATAAGAAAGCACAAGAATCTATACCTGGGGCTGAACTATATTTCAGTAATATTAATATACGTAAGTGAAAAACATAAAAGAAAAGCCTAACTTAAAGTATGTTTTTTATTTAAAGATAATTCCCCAAGTCAAAAATTTAGTAACTATGTTGGCAACACAAGCCTTTTCTACATAAAAAATTTGAAAGCATTGACAATTTCACATTGTATTGCCAACATAATGTCATTTTGACTTTCATCTTTAAAAAAAAAACAGACTATATAGACTTTTTTTTATTATAATGTATTATTATAGTATCGCTATAGCCACAGTATAGCGGTGACTATATTGCATTTTGAGGTATTGTGCTTTTGGTCTGCCTGACATAAAGAATGCAAAAATTAAACCTCCATTTCCTATCATTGTTAGGCCTGTTCGCACAGCAATCACAAACCAGTCAGAGCGAATTTCATTGGTTGAAAACAATCAGAAACAGTCAGAAACCTAGTTTCAACCAATAAGATTCACTCTGACTGGTTTGTGATTTCTCTGCGAACAGACCTATTATTCTCCATCTCTAGTTGATAGATTCCAATTTGCGAAAATAAAAATTTCGTTTCGAAATGTTTGCAATAGCGCCTTAAAACTCCTTGGCTTTTTGTAGTCTGCATTTTGAAAGACTTCTACAATATTTTTATTGTAATAAAAACTGTTTATTTGTTCAGAAGATCCATACTTGAACTTTGAATATTCTTGTCCTGTCTGGTCCTCAAACTACCAGGTTTATAAATAAATATGTTGGAAAGGGTTCAAAGTCGGTTTCTTACACAACTGGGCTATAGGTTGAAAATTCCTTTTGATAATATCAATTTTGATGAATTATCTTTAGGTATTATTACACTTTCCTACAGGGCATATGCTTTTTACTTAGCTTTCTATATTGTAAATAATTTAATTGATTGTCCACCTCTGTTTGATAATATGTATAAACATTCCTCCTCACATTCATCAGATTCATTCATCATTCAAGTAAATGATAAGAAATTAATTTTTGATGTTCAAGAACATGCAACCCTTGGACAAGTGACCACATAATAATAACTGCCAAAACACAACTTCAAATAATTGCACAGCCTACACCTTCACATAAAATCAACAAAAGGAAATTTTGGAAAGCAGATTAAACTGAAGTAAACCAAACCATTCAGCAACAACTTGCTCAGGCTACTAACTGAGTTACTAACCCACATTCATTTGAAGAATTCTCTGAGGGTTTCGGTTACAATCAATAAGCATGCCAAACACACCACAAAAAGTAAATGCCCAAAAACCATGAAAAACTAAGACAGTATTTAGGAAAATACAAAGGAAAAGAGACTTGTGGCACAAATATAGACACAACCAAGGGCACAACAATACTGAAGAAAGTTACCAACAGTACCAGCATCAAAATAATAGGGTCAAAAGTTGTACAGTCACAGCAAGAAAACAATATGAAAAAAATATGTTGAACAACACCAAACAGTTCTTTTCCTATGTTAACTCTTAGCTTAACTCTAAACCGAGCTCTAAACACACATTTCAGTATTGTTGACAAAGCAATTCTTCTGACCAGGAGGTTGCAGAGTGTTTAGCACAGCAATTCCAGAGTGTTTTTACTAAACACAGTTCTAGAGATGTTACACCAACATCCCAGACTTTCAGTTGAATCCGAGGTTGAATCCTACTCCAGAACAGAAATCAACATCATAAATTTCAGCAAAGAAAAAGTAGAAATCGTCATTAAGTCCCTGAGGAACTCCAGCCCAGGACTTGATGAGGAGACCCCTCCTATATTCCTTAAAAATTGTTTGCATACTCTAAAGGGCCTTTCATGAATGGCATAATATCTACAGGAGATTTTCCGCAACATTGAAAAAAAGCAGTTGTTATACCTATATTCAAAAAGGGGTAACAGAAAGCTAGTAGAAAACTACAGACCCATCAGCCTGACCAGCGCCTTATATTAATGTATGGATTAAATCAGTGCTAATAGTCCGGGAGTTAATGACATATTTCATTGTACCATTTCCGCAAGCTTCATTCTTCATTTTGGCCAAGTTTAACCATTTGGTAAAATTAAATTTATTGTCCGTCGTTTTTAATCTGACACTTTCCGTATGAGGAGCGAGGGGGTGAAGCATATGACAAAAACAGGTGTGACGTCCGGTGATTTTTGGCATTCTAATGCAGGGAGCCACCAGCTCACATTCCTTTCGAGTATCAGATTAAAATCGACGGACTGTAACTGATACAAGATAAAATTTGCAGTTGACGCAAAATGTCATGCCATAGAGTTTCATGCTAAATAGTGTTCCATGACAACATTGGTTCATCGTGGTTATGGAAACCTATTGCTATAAAGAATTCCATACACCACAGGCGAGATTTTTTGTACCGTTAGCGATTTTATTTTATTGTATCCTGGTATAATCTTTAAACTGAAACATTGCGTAAATTTCTTAGGTCATAGAAAATCTACATGAAATAGGCTTTCCGAATTTGAAGCGCTCGTGAAAAACCATCGTTTCGTTTTCGAATTATAGCAATTTAAAGATTGCATTACCAAAATTTGATGTTTAGTAGTGTATTTAAGGCCAAGTGGGCCTAAATCCAAAAAGTGACAAAAACGTCTAGAGATATTGATGTTACCTTAGTAACGAACCATATTGTAGCCATTGTAGCGACTAAAAAAAAATTTTGCCAAAGTGTCACACACACGAAATTTTTGCTTTTTTGCATGACATTGCTTATCACCCCGTATATCATGAAAATAGCTTTCCAACAAAAAATGTGTGACATGCAGCCCAATCTAGAAGAGACGCGCTTTTGAATGCCGCAAACCGCGTTAAAAAATATTTATTTTTAAAAAAGTTGCAGCTGTTTAAAAATAGGGCAAAAAATTGAATGGACCGAACTTAATGTTGACCAGTTTACATCATTTTGGAGTCAGAGGCGATTTACTGCACTTCTTGAGGAATTCCTTACTGGACGTACCTTCAGGTTCGGACAAGAATATCACTCTTTTTTTTTTAATTTATACAAGACAGACTGACGCTTACAAGATAATATCACAGGAAAAATTATGGCTATTTTAGTCCATGGATGCCAATTAATGCCAAGAGAGGTAGATCCTTGGGTAAATCTATTTAATAAATTTGGAAGGTTTGCAAAATAGAAAACAACAGGGTATTTAGCTCGGTATTTAGTTATAGTAGATATTATATTTTATTGTTGTTGTTGTACCTATTTATTACTATCATTATTCAGAATTTGAATTTGACATGAGTAGGCGTCCACTAATGTCTTCTTTCTTTGTTGTGGTTTTGCTGCGTCTAGTCAATTGGGGGCGATTCTGTTTAGGTCGTCCCTCCAACGGCTTGGGGCTCAGCTCCTATTTCCCACCTGCCCGTTCTCACTGAAATGGGCCATTAAAAAAACTGTGATGTTACGGGCAAACACAATAAAGATATTTTAATGGGGAGTTCTAGCACAGATTTCGAGGGTAGTTGTGTTAGTGAGGAATCAATCCATGCTTTTCAAGCAATTGCCAAAAAAACCTAAGAACTGGTTCAACAAAATCCTGTTGAGGCTAATCCAGATAAAGTGAACAATTTTGGAATGCAGTCAACAGAAAGTACAATAGATGGAGACATGGGAGTTCTTACTACTCTTGATAATATACATATAGTCACCGAAGTTTTTCACCAAACAAAACTTATAAATTCTACTTTATTTCACCATTCACAAGCAAGTCACAACTTTAGCGTTCAGAATTGATCAAACAGAAAAAGATAATATGGAACTTGAAAATAAAATCAGGAACATAACTGTACAGCAAGAGGAAAGCGACGGATTAGAGACAGAAACTCTGGCCCATCTAAATCGAGACGACGAAAAAACACCGCAAATACTAAAAGTTTGCAGAGGTTAGTGCACCTCATAAGACCATGAAATCGAGCACGAAATCACCAAAGAAAACCAGGGACTACATGGAGTTCACCAAAAATACAGAAAAAAAAACGAAATCATGATCTCAATAGACAAAATTACGGAGGCATCCAAAACAATGCAACAAGTTAAACAGAATATAAACAAGACATAAGACCCAATGCTTACACGACGAAAGGGATCAACTGGCAACGATTTTTGAGACGATATAATTATTCTGAATAATAAAATTGAAACTGAACCTGACTGACTCCCAGTAATGCCTTCACTATTTCAAAAAAAAAACAGTCAGTCCAGAATATTCTGCCTGACACGTATTTAATTTAGGGAGAACATATACAAATGAGAACCCAAAGTTTTCAGGTATTTACATAAACAAACATCTTGATTGAGCATGTCATATAGGTAACACAATTATCCATGAAGCTGAATTCTATTTGTTATGGTACTAGGATAGTTAGTAAGTCTAAATCTGTTCTAAAATATGGTATCATCTTCTAGGGAAGGAACAGCAGGTTGCAAAATATCTTTATGGCCGGAAAAGGCTTACAAGAATAATAAAAAAATGGACTACCTTCAGAGCTATAATCAGTCTTCAAAGTTATGAGTGTTATGATTATGACAGGATATGCAGTGTACATTTATGAAAGTTTAATGTTTTTCTTTTGCAACAAACATCTTTTTTAAAGTAAAACGGAACACAGTAATAACATGAGAACAGGAGATTTTAAGTACAAGCCACATAGACCTACATTAACCGAAGCATCACCTTATATAAGAAATATTTCATAGTTCTACATTGTGATTTTTGAATCTTTGGCTTCTGTTATACTTGATGTTATGGTGAACTAAGTTTTCAGAAAAAAAATTGAACTTATAGACTACATATAACCATAATATTGAAACTTTTCTTCAATATTATATACCTATAGCTCTTTCAGTGCATTTTTTTTCAGATGCCGATGATCTACCTCAAATTAAAGAAAACCTATCCAAATTTCAAAATCACATAAAACACAATGAAAATTTATATCCGTTAACACAAATCGAAAAGAACCGGTACTTTTCATTGGACATCTTGGCCCTCATGAATGACAAGAAATTCCTGGAACAATGGCCAAATTTCAAAGAAAACCTCATATCTAATGCAGAATATACTTTAAACTGCCTAAGTTTGGCCATGTATAATTATATTTATAAAATTCATAAAAACACTGAAAGCGTTGAAAAGAAAATACCAACCATAAGAGCAAGGATATTTAATTTGGAACCAGTAATCGAACTTAGAGATATCAATGCATCATATTTTGGGAAGTTAGTCTCGCTTAAAGGCACCGTAATAAAAGCGGGCCCAACAGAAATCAGATGCACTCACATGGCTTTTCATTGTCCATTATGCAATAGCACTCAGCTACTAAAGCAACAGGATGGTTGCTACACACCATTGGAAAAATGTCAAATATGTCGGAGTAAAGGAAAATTTGAGCCACTTTACAAATCTTCGGATACAAGAACTATCGATTGGCAAAGTATTGGGATACAGGAAATTGAGGTGGGCTTGAGAATAATTATGCTAATTAAGGATTAATAAATTTGTTTTTAGTGTGATTTAGCAATAGTTCCTCAAGTATTTGAGTGTGTGTTGACTGAGGATTTAGTTAAAAGTTGTCTGCCAGGTGACGATATAACAATCTATGGTATTATTAAGGTGATTTTCTTTTTTAGATCATTTACATTTATACATAGCCAATATTCCAGTAATAATTGTTTTTAGGCGAAAGATTCAAACGACAACAAAGGCAAAAATAAGCAAAATTCAATATTAAATCTATATTTAAAAGCAGTGTCTGTTTATAACAACAAAAATAAATGTGATGGGCTTCATTCTAGCTCTTGTGACCGAATTACATTTACGCCGCAGGACTATTTAGCCATAAAGGTAAATAACAATCCATTTATAGGCAATTTGACACAATAATTTTTTTAGCAAATACATGCCCAACCCAATCTTTTCCGCTACTTAGTCCACTCATTATGCCCAACGATCTACGGCCATGAAATCGTTAAAGCCGGTCTTTTATTAGCTCTGTTCCGAGGTACCAAATCCAGTACCTCACGAGCCGAATCTCACGTACTATTGATGGGCGATCCAGGCTTGGGCAAAAGTCAAATGCTGAAAAGTTGTGCTAACGTATCTCCTAGAGGCGTTTATGTATGTGGCAATATCAGTACTACTTCAGGATTGACCGTGACAATGACTAGAGAATCTTGTGGGGAATACTCTATGGAAGCTGGGGCCCTTATGATCGCCGATCAAGGCTGTTGTTGTATTGACGAGTTTGATAAAATGCCAACACAACATACTGTAGTTATCAATAAAGATTTGTCTCAACAAGGAATTAGACATTGGTTAGAGCTGATCCCATTTATAAATTGAAGGCAACATAAATTTCCCAGTGCAGTTAAATGACCAGTGTGGGTCAAATGAAAACAATTCTGCCTGGTATCAAACCTATGGCGCTGAGTCCTTTTGAAGGGTGAGTTTTCATTTATAAAATATCTGCATATTTTATTATTGAAAAAAAATTGGAGAAATTTGTTTAGTCCTAAAAAATGTCCCATAATGCGTTCATTATGTACTACATAGTTATTTCCTTCAATGAAGGTTTTATTGATTTGCTTTAAGTGATGCAGAAATTTAAAAATGAAGCATTCTTTTTCCCATTTTTTTGATTACTTTACTTTTCTATTATGTAGTGCTTGGAGAAAGTTTAGAATATTATCAAATTTTATTTTATAACTCAGTTTTTTGCTTAAGGTCTCACCCTCATAAAGTATGCAGCATGGGATTGGTAATGGGCCAAATAGTTTAAACTCGCAATGTTACATTTTAGTTTGCCTTAAGAAAATTAGTTTTTTGAATTCGTCTTTAATTGGCTCTGACTCATTTCTAATCCTTGTTGGACTTATACATAGACCATACCTAATTATTGCCAATTTTCTTAGTGTCTTCTCGAAGCTATGGAACAACAAACTATCAGTATAGCAAAAGCAGGAGTTGTCTGTTGCCTCCACACAAAACCTACAATTTTGGTAGCAGCAAATCCCGTTGGAGGGCACTATAACAAATCGAAAACCATAGGAGAAAATTTGAAAATTAGCTCCCCAATGCTGTCGAGATTTGATTTGATATTTATTTTACTGGATCAGCCCAATGAGAGCTTGGATAAATATTTATCAAAGCATGTTTTAAGTGCTCATTTGACAAACAAAAAACAATATACTCCTAAAGAATTTAGAATGGATAATGATGAAGATGATTACGGGCTAAGAGATAAGCTTAAACTTGATGGTCAGCCAATAGAGCCTCTACAGCATACAGTTTTTCGAAAATATATTGCTTACTCTCAAAAATATGTCAACCCTAGACTGTCTAATGAAGCCAGAGAGATTTTGATAGAGTTTTATGTTAGTTTAAGAAAGCAATTTGCTACTGGAGATTGTACGCCTGTCACTGTTAGGCAGCTTCAATCAATGATAAGACTTACCCAGGTACAACAACTTGGATTTATATGTGTTATTTATTTTAGTCATTGGTGTTTTCAGGCTAGAGCTAAACTTGAATTACGTGAAGAAGCTTCAGAAGATGATGCCAAAGATGTCATAGAAATTATGAAGTATAGTTTAAAGGATGTTTTTACCAATCAGGATGGTGAATTGGATAAAAGTCGTTCTCAAATGGGGTCAGGAATGAGCTATAAAAATCTGGTAAGAATTTGAGTGTTTGTATTCAAAAATCAATAGACCCTATTGGAGGAATTAGAAATTGACCATTTTTGTCTAATTAGGACACTATATTGAGATGCAAATATACTACATATATCATATTATAGGTATGTCTTAAATAATGTTACGGAAGTTAAAGTTGCGTCCATATTACTATCACAGTAATAGTTTGAAATGATAGGTAACTCAAAAATTTTATAGGTAGAGACACCTAAGTTAATGAAGTCTATGAAAATGAGCTGGATAATTGATAAATAAAATTAATCGATTCTTTGTTTTTATAGGTGATGAAACTTCTGGATGTCCTTCAAAGTCAATCAGAAATCCATTCCAAATCGTTATTCACGCTTCAAGAAATCAGAGAAGCCAGCGAAAATATTGGTCTTGCAAAAGACAAATTCTTTCGCACTCTAAGTTCGCTGAACATGCAAGGTTTTTTGTTGAGTAAAGGCAGAGATACATACCAGTTGAATTCGGCATATTTATAGTGCATTGATATTCTTTATTGTTCGTTCATCCACAAACCAAAAAAATTGAAATTAATAAACAGAACATTTTTCCACAGGAAAAACATAGCATAAGTGTTATCCATCAGAATGTTCAGTCTCTTGGCAACGCTGTGGACAGAATCCAATATTTTTTGCAAAAAGAAAACAATTGTATGCTCTTTCTTGTAACAGAGCACTGGAAAACAGATGAGCAGTTGAGACTACTACCAATACAAAACTTTAATCTTGCAGCACAATGGTGTAGGGACGAAAACGAACATGGAGGTGCAGCTGTCTTTGTGAATTCAAGTCTTGAATATAAACCAAGGAAAAAAATTAGTGACTTCTCAGTAAAAGGTGAAATGGAATGTGCAGCAGTAGAATGCTCCATCAACAAAGAAGTATTTATAGCAATAGCAATGTACAGGCCATGTAAAGGTAACAAAGAAACATTTTTAGAACTGTTAGAAAAACTTTTAAATAGTATACAGGGTGAGAATAAAACAATTGTCTTGGGTGGTGATTTCAACATTGAACTTAAGACTGACAATAAATATAAAACAGAGTTTTTATCACTTCTTGATTCTTTCTCATTACATAAACATATAGAAGAGTACACAAGGATAACAAATAATACAAAAAGCAGCATAGATAATATATTTAGTAATATTAAGTACCATGTAAATAGTTTTATAATTTCAAATCATATTTCTGATCATTTTGCACAAAAAATTTCTTTTAACATACAAAACAACAAAACTATTCCTAGTAAATTAGTGAGAACATATTCAGAACAGTCAAAACTAGAGTTTGTAAATAAGCTAGGACAGGAAAACTGGGAATCAGTTTATAAAATAGAGGCTCACAATGTAGATAGTCAGTGGGATAATTTTTCTTCAATTTTTTTAAAACTTTTCAATGAGCACTTTCCAAAAAAAACTGTAAGACATAAATCGAAAAATAAGATGTTTTATTGCAACCCTGAACTGGCAGCATGTAAGCAAAATTTAGATTTATTGTTAGGATTAAGCAATTCTGATAGTAGTTTTAAAGAATTGTACAAAGCTGAAAAAAAAAGTTATGATAAAATCTTAGTTGAATCGAGAAAAAACCATTATAATAACAAAATAAGATCATCAGATAATAAAAATAAAGCAATGTGGACAGTATGCAACGACATTCAGGGCAACTCTCCCAGAAATGCAAACTGCCAAATCCGGGGGACACCTGAATCAATAGCCAATAATTACAATAACTTTCTAATCGAATTAATTCCAAATCTAATAAAGAACAGTAAAAATTTCAATTGTGACAACATAAAAAACAATGCTTCTTTATATATAAGACCTTTTATCCCAGAAGAAATAATAGAAATATCTCAAAAACTTAAAAATAAACTAAGTAGTGGCATTGATGAAATTCCCGTGAATATTGTTAAACTAGGCATTCCAAGTATAAAGATAGTTATTTGTTATGTTATAAATAATTCATTCAAATTTGGCATTTTTCCTAACCAGCTAAAGGTAACTCTCATAAAACCGATTTTTAAGTCAGGAGATCCAGAAAAATTAGAAAATTACAGACCCATAAGTTTGCTAAATAGCTTTTCAAAAATCTTTGAAATGGCAATGTCCCTTAGACTGTTAAGTTTTTTTAATGAATGTAATCTGGTTAGTTCATCACAACATGCATATCTAAAGGGTAAATCGACAAATACAGCAATTTTTCAATTTACATATAATATACTCAAATTTCTTGAAGAAAATAAATTAGCTGCTGGGCTATTCATCGACTTATCAAAGGCTTTTGACTGCCTAAACAGAAACTATTTAAAAGAAAAGCTAAAAAATTATGGTATAAAGGGAAGAGCTCTGAGTTGGCTGACCTCATACTTATCAGATCGCTGGCAATGTGTGGAAATTCATAGGAACAATAACTCATCTAGATCAGGATGGCTGCAAAATCAGGTGGGAGTACCCCAGGGGAGCATACTAGGGCCGATACTATTCCTGGTCATGATAAACGATCTGAGTTCGGTGTGCAGCGGATTGGAAGAGTCTGCAATAACAAATTATGCGGATGACACCAATCTGCTGGTCGCCGGAGTGGATCGGCATGACTTGGAAGAAAAAAGCAATGAGCTATATTCTCGAGCAGAGGATTGGTTTGAGAAAAATGAACTAGTTATAAACGAGAGCAAGACAAGCATTGTGATTTTTCGCACTAATAAACTAAAAGAGAAACCATCAGCAATAAGTATCCATAATCAGGAAATTGACATATCAGAGCACACTAAATTTTTAGGTGTTATAATTGATGAATTTCTAAAATGGTCAACACACATTGAAAGTTTAGTGAAAAAATTGAACGGTGTTTGTTTTGCACTCAGAGTACTAAACAGATATGTAGAAGACAAAGTTAAAAAAATCCTTTACTATGCAAATTTTGAGTCTCGGATGAGGTACGGTATCATTTTCTGGGGAGTCAGTTCTTCAACACAATCAGTCTTTGTAGTCCAAAAGCGAACTATCAGGTTATTGCTTAACATGAGCTTCAGAGACTCCTGTAGAGGCAAATTCAGGGAGTTGGGTATTTTAACAGTTTATGGTCTATACATACACGAGTGCCTCTTATATTTGCATAAAAACAAAAATGAATTTTTAATACATAACACTAACACCACATACAATACAAGGACCACAGATATTTATTATCCTATTCATAGATTAACTTTAAGTGAAAAAAATCCATCTTATAACTGTATTAAAATATTTAATAAATTACCAAACGACTTTAAAATAATAGAAAACTACAAGGAATTTAAAAATAAAACCAAGAAATTGTTAATAGACATAGAACCATATTGTGTGAAAGATTACTTGGATATGTAATTTAAGTATATTGTTTTGTGACGCCATTTCATTTCATGTTATTTTGTAATGCTGTAATATGTATTGTAAAAACTTAATTTGAAATAAAGCTACTATTCTATTCTATTCTATTCTATTGTATTCTTTTGATTAAGTTTTATATTGCAGCACTTTATTTATTGGGTTTTATCTATTGTTTCTGTCATATTTAATTCTTTCATTTGTAACTGAGTCTCGGTCCTTAAGTTTGATTTCTTATTTTTGTTACAACAGAAAATAAAATTATTTTTTTACTGGATTTTTTGAATTTAGAACCAACCTCAGTTTATTTTAAGTCAATGAGGTATATCTAACATAAAAAACTGTCAAGATTATAGAAAAAATTGATAAGAAACGCAATTTCTGTTTTAACTTTAAAACATGGAATTAAAGAAAATTTAAACAATACAATCCTCCTTATGTTGTGGCCAATGGTTGACTTGACAAGATCTGGAACAGTACCAGGACTGTTTACATTTTGAACACCTCTGGATGGCGCTTTTGCCGCATTGTGCGCACATTTGACTGTCTTTGACTTCAAATTGTTCCAGAAGATCCGTATTGTATGCATCAGTTAATCTACAAATATAATGTATAATGATATTGGCAACAGATAAATTAAATTTTACTTCATTGCAGCATCCTTCAAGCTTTCCTTGTTCTTTGTAAAAATATTGCCAACTTGTTTTCTGGCAATTTCCTTCCATTTTCCACCGCATTCTTGCATTATGCATTCTTTTATGTCTAAAATTGCTTCAAGTAATAGAGGCTTCGGAGGCGCTGAATATTCTTGCAGGCAAGAAACTTTACATAACCAATGCTGTAATAAAAACTTCCTTATAGTGTGTGACAAATTGAAAACAAAATTGTACCTTCAACTCAAACATAGGTGATAATTGGTCCAATAGAGTGGGAGACATTAACGGAAGAAGTCTGGTCAATTGGTTTCGTCTGCTTTCTGTAATGGGATAGTATTTCATACATTCAGGATCCAAGAGGATGTATCTTAATGTCAGCCAGACCTAAAATGTGATTTTGTTGAGTCAGGCAATTCCATTTCTGAAATTGTTTTTTTATAAGTCAAAAGTTTTCCTAGGCAAACTGCACTTTCCTTTTTAAAAATTGTGGTATAATTGGTAATTATACAATATTCTGCTTAGAAATTAAATATTCCCAGTTAGCTCTCTGTATTCCACCAAATTTGACTCATGAGAACACTTTGTCTTGATTCCGATCAAATATTTCACAATGTTTACCTGTGCTTCAGCTTGTCCAAGTTGCTCATAATCCCAATCCTTCCACTTGCCAGCTACATATTGTTTTCCGTTATTCAGCCAAGGTTTACTCATTAAAATTTCTGTTAAAAGTACTGGAACGTCATGAGTTCCATATAAACGACTGCAAACTGAAACTGGCAACCGCTCCATGTTCTCAGCCAAATATCTCAAAATTCCCAAACCCTTGATCCCAATTTCAAATGACAAATTTTTTCGTTGCCTGAATAATTCTTCTTGAGCATTTTCATGATGTTTTGGTGTTTCTTCTTGTTTAACATTCAGAAGCTGAGAAATAACACCACTAACATAATCGAGAAGGTCTATTGCAGAGTCTTCCAGAGCTAAAATCAACCAATTATGTTCAGCTTTTTAAACTTCCGCATCTGGAGAAAAATTCTGACCTTCACAGCAACTAGAATGGTACATAACAAGCTCCAAAAGTGACACGCAAACTCCTTCATGATACAGTATGGAATAAGCTATAAAAGTACTTTCTGGATTAGGTTCTAGCTTTAGTAATTTTGGTAAAACTGTGTATTTCCAGATGTTGATTAGGATAGCTTCGTGAACAAGAATTTTGGCCTAAAAAATGTCTCAGTTTAGATAATTATCTACTTTTTGTGAGTACCTACCTTTCCAAAAGATACAAGAGTCTCTTTGACATGTTCTTCCTTTAAACAAGCAGCTTCAACTGCAGCTTCTTGGTTCAGTTTCTGCAGTCTGTTGTGCCAGTCTAACCATCTGGAATTTTATTAGGTAGATAACATAAAACATAGATAACAAGAGTGAATTGTTACTGTTCAGTTCCCAAATTTTTCATGTTTTGTGGCACCATCGAGTCCACAAACAAATCAATTTCGTTTGGCATCAAAACGCTTTCCATTTTTCTTTGTAGGTTTTTTTTTTTCGCTTCTTTGAAAGGAAATATTGAATCGAATTTGACAATAATTGCCACTATTCAGTTTATTGACCAAACATGGTTGCTATGCGAAAGTAGTGGTGAAAGCCACCAATATTTTTCAGTTATTCTATGTTTTCAGTTTCTATGACAATATAACAAGACTTCAGTATGACCAGTATGACTTCAGTGTGTTCAAATTTGTTTATTTTGGCGGCGAATCTCCGGAAAGAGGATAATATTAAGATGTATGACTTGTGATTCAGCGTAAAAACCAAAGAAAAAAACTGGTTTTATTTATAAGCACTTGATTGCGCAACTTTTTCCACATTATTTGGTCCACCCTGTATCTTCAATGGTTTCTCAAATCCGCATGTACTTCAAGTTATTCCGGACACATTTTGTATAGTGGTGAAACTCAACTCATCTTATAAATATTTTCATAATTTTAATGAGATCGTATTCAAAGGAAAAATATGGAAAATCACAAAATATTCTTAGAAATTACAATAGACAGGCTTGGACAATGGTACAAAGAATGAGTACTGAGAGAGTACCAAAATCATGAGTGGAACCCAAGTGGAGCTATAGATAAGGTATAGATGATGAAATGCGCAACAGAAGCCGAGATTAAGATTTATGGGCAAACAGAAACATTGTTCAGGAAATTATACCCTTCATCCTCGCCCCTTAGTAATGGAATATTGTTCCTTTGAGTCAGCATGATTTTTTTCCTGGACTAGTATGGAATAGGAGCACTAAGGGCAGTTTTTCTACAGGAATCCTACCATGTTAGAATTGGATCAGCAGCAGGCTGTTTCACAGAAGCTTATTTTGGTTAAGTTTACTGAAAACTTACATATGATAATCCTCCAAAATATTGGCAGTGATAAATTTTTGCTTTTGAAAGCTGTCTTGGATCTTAAAAACAACATTTGATAATGATCTTACATATTATGTATTTATATTCAAAAAATAAAACAGGAAATAGGTACTTAATAATAATAAAAAAAAGTTAAATCGAATTCTCAAGATTCTTAATTCAATTTATACAAAAGACAAAAACAAATTTTGAGTATCAAATTCCTTATTTTGGCCGTCCTCTTCCTTTACCACTTCCGCCCGTTTTTCCTCTTTTACTGGGCGTATTCTTTTTCTTATCCTCCACCTTCCTCTTGGCCGGCGTGGTACCTAAAACCGTAAAAAACCCGTCCAGCCTCGCCTGTGTGCTGGTACCTCGAGCTTTTTGCAGTTTTTTAATACCATTGCGTACTCTGTCCTCGCTGAATTGCCTGTGGCCGCAGAGGAATTTTACCATCCCTTCTTCGTCTGGTTCAGACCATTTAAGCTACAAATAATAAGTCTACATAAAAATATGTTTAATTAGTGGTGGAACTGTTGTAACAGTCTGTGAATAAATGAATTATTATTGGATATGCTATGGTGACAGAGATCAAAGTTTTGCCATAATAATAATGGGGCAACAAAATATAACAATGGTAGGTGATTCTTATATACATCAGAAATTGATTAGTTAGAGCACTCTTTGTTATTGGTAATTTTAAAGAACCTTTATTTCGACAATTGTATGCCTTTTGTGTATCTTTGTCACCGTTTCCAATATAAAAATGCAGCAGAATGTCAGTAATTTTTCCCTTATAGAAAGAGGTCTGCAATGCTCTTGAGGTTTCGCTCCACAAGTATCTAGAGAACGTTTTTATAATACAAAAACAGCATGGATATGACACGGAGCACTAAAGATCCAAAATGGAATACCATAACGGATGTTAGACTATGAAGGAGCAGTACTCATTTTTCGCCATAGAATGACCCAAGTTGTTTGATACAATTCTCACTGCGTAACATGCAGATAAAAGTTTTTTATTCAGCTATAATATATGTTCTGAAAACTTCAATTTGGTGTAAATATGTAAGCACAAAAACTTTGCAATGGGTCTATTTTCAATAATGATGCTGTCTAATAAAGATACATCTGGAATTGTGCATTCAAATGTAAGGATGTTGGTTTTACCAAGATTAAACGACACTTAGAATCACACCATTGTTTCACCAGCCCTAGATCCACTGACACCCTGCCATTCAATGTGTGTGTGTCTATTTCCCTCCACAAGATTTTTGTGTCGTCAGCAAACAGCAAACCATGTAAAGTGACTATTAATTCCAATAGATACAATGTCGTTTATGTATATATTAGAAATAGGAGTGGGCTAAACACTGAACCTTGTGGCACTCCATAATCAATACCAAGTGCATTAGATTTAGTTGCACCACACTTCACCACCTGATTCCTTTCTGAAAGGTATGATTTGAACCACACTCGAGTAACCCCTCGGAATCCATGCAGATAAAGTTTCTGCAGCAGTAATTCGCGATCCACACAGTTGCCTTCGATAAATCGTCGCAGCCAGCTCTGCTCTATTAAGACCCAGATACAAATCTTCAAGGAAACTAAACAATGCATAACCCTCAGCATCACCCATGCTCCTGCCTGCTTGAAACCCGAACTGAAACCCTTTGCGTATATGATTTCTGTTCAAAAAGGAGATTATACGCTTTTTAACAATTGTCTCAATTACCTTTGAAAGGGTAGGCAAAACAGAAATAGGTCGAAAATGGGAAAGGTCATCAAGTTCACCACCCTTATAAACGGGGCTAACAAGTGCAGTCTTTAAGCTTAAAGGAAAATTGCCAGTTTGAAATGAATGGTTAATTCTTGTGAGTCTTGATGGTTACAGTATCATTCGAGAGGACCGTCCACATCAAAAAGGGGGAGGAGTCTGCATACTTGTCAAAAACCAAGTCAGCGGGTACAATCTAAAATGCAGCCTCTCCCAAACCTACCAAATAGGAGCACCTGTTGATGCTGTACTGCTAGACCTACAATTGGACAAGGTTAAATTCCTGGTGGCATGTATACAGGCCAGGTAGCACAACTGAGCCAGTCAATACTCAGATGATAGGAAGTCGAGTAGGACGTATACGCAGGGCATTTGCAACTGGGATAACCTGTGAATATTCCCAGCTAAAAAAAGCACAAGACTTCATGGATATGTACCAAGAAACCAATGTATATCAACTAAACTTTCAAACACGATATAGGAACAATCAGAGCTTGTTGTTGGATCTATTTTTGTGCAGAGATCGGAAAAGCGTTTTTGATTTGAAATCTGAGCCACCCGTTGGGGGTAGCGATCATGAAGTAATCACTGCCAAAGCACATATTAGGCTACCAACTATTGTGATAAGAAGAAATTTCTATACCTTTTTTTATGAAGTACATAGTAAAGGACAAAAATAGGTAATAGGTGGTGACTAGTGTTATGTCAGCCATGTTTGGGAAAGTGACGTCCCTTTCCTATCCCCGTTTTCAAAGCAGTTTAAAAATTCGATTTTCAAATCTTTTTAGTTTCAAAAATAAACGTTTTTTTGAAGAAAAAAAAAAGTATACTGATAATTATCAGTAGGTATAACAGATTAATTTAAAAATTTGGAATTTGCCTATTTTGGTCAGAATTCATCTGTAACATACCCAAATGTTACACGCCTATATTCTTTTTTGCCGGGCGACAAAAATTTTCGCATCGGGCCACTTATTCGCTTTTTTTTTTTTGGTAAGAGTAGATATTTTGTTCACGGAGCCCCTTCTCTCCTGAGGAAGTATTTCGGAAATTCCAAGATGATTAAGAGGAAGCACTGATTCCAGTAATTCCCATGATGCATTAGGCGCCCGCCATAGAAAAACCTTATTATAGAAAGAAATAAATTTTATTTCTATTTTTTTTTTTTCACAAAAATTTTCACATAAAATATGCTGGAAAAAGTCTATAGACTTGCCTTGGGGGGGCTGCAGCCCGGCAGCCCCCCCCTGGATATGCCTATGATGATGAGATAAACAACTATATTAGACACCATCCTGAAACCAACATAGGCCTCACAAGATTTGAAAGTTTAAAGATGGTCTCAAATTGGGGAATAAACCATTGTATTCCATTTAGATTTGTAAAGGCAAACCAGCAACAGCCTTGGATTAATCAATAACTTTTTAAACAAATCAGCAAAAAACGTAAACTTTGGGATAAATACGGAATCAACAAATCAGACGGAAAACTACCAGGCCCATATGTCCCAAAATAACACACTCAAACAAAAACTGGGCGAGGCTAGGAGAGTATACTCAAGAGTATATGAGCATGGCTTAGTTACAGCAGATTCACCAAAAGGAATCTACAAATATACATATAAGCAGAAACTTGAACTCTAAGGTGTCAATAATAACACTTAGAGATTCAATAACTCAAGAAGTTTTAGACAATGAAGCCATGGCTGAAAAATTTGACAAATCCTTCACCCAACAGCAGCACCTATGTCTTCCACCCCCACCTGCAAATACCAGAGTCTGGAATTTGTAATACACCATAGAATTCACAGAAGAAAAAGTCAGAAGAGCCCTAAATAATATGCAAAACAAAAGGACTCAAATCCAGGGCCAGACAGGATAGGATACCAACCATTTTGCTACAAAACTGTAGTGAGTTGGTTGGTTCTCTACTCTCTGGGGTAATGTAGGAATGTGTCGACTCGGGACGCATACCAGAGAAATATATAGTGACCCCCCCTTTTTAAAAAAGGCGACAGACACAAACCGGAAACACGACCCATAAGTCTAACATGTAGCCCATTGAAGTGCAGAAAAAGTCATGGTCGAGAAAATGACAGTTTTTTTCATTGAGGACAATTTAATACCACCATTACAGCACGGGTTCTATCAAGATGCTCCACTGTCACTAATCTACTAGAGCGTCTTAATGACTGGCCAGAAAACCATGATAACCTTCAGCCCACTGATATATCTTGATTATGAAAAGGCTTTTGATAAAGTGCCACATAACCTGTTGCTTGGAAAACTATACCATTTTGGAGTACAGGGAAGGCTGTTGACACTCCATCAGAGATCTTTTGTGTGAAAGATACTACCCAAGTTCGAGTCAATGAAACAATTCCAAGACAACAGCACCTTGTGAGGACTGGGGTTGTCCAGAGATCGGTTCTGAAAACTATATGCAAACCCTCTTCTCAATGTAGCACAACTCAAAGCAGACTTCCATAATGTTGAAGTATGGACTGGAACTTGGGGTATGAAACTCAACGAGTCAAAATGCACAGTGCTTAGAATTGGCCCAAACAATCCCAATGAAGAATATACTCTGAACATCGCAGCACTAACAACTGTCACTGAGCAGAATAATCTTGGAGTCCTAGTAACATCCGACTTGAAATGGGAAAACCACATTGTGAAAATAGCCAAAAAAGCTAGTACATTTGTCTATCTGATTAAACATGCTTTCAAAGACCACTCCGTCAAAATGATAGGCAAACTGTACAAAAGCTTCATCAGGCCTAAACTTGAATATGCCTATACAGTGTGGAATACATATTTTATCAAGGACATAGAAATATTAGAAAGAATACAGAGGAGGGTAACCAAGATACCATCGGATATGAGAGAATTAAGTTACTTTCAGAGACTGGAGAGATACTGATTAACAACATTAAGAGAAAGAAGGCACAGGGGAGATCTGATTGGGACCTTTAAGATAACAAGTGGATAATACAATTGCAACATCAAGGATATTCCACCAAAATCAAAACCAACAACTTCGAGGGCACTGAAAACCAGACAAAGAAAAAGCAGCCAAACTTCCAAGAACAATTTTCCTAACAAATCGTGTCGTTTATTCGTGTAGAGAACAGTGACTGCCAGTAGTATAAACGTATTTAAAAACAGATTGTACTTGGAACTTAAGGATAGTGCAGCAAGAATGATACATAACAGTCGAGATAACAGTGCTTAGCGGAAAAAAAGGGAAAAAAGAGGAAAAAAAGAAAATTATGTGACCTGCAAGTAAACACAACAAGTAGCAATAGTTTCATCAGGTTTACGGCCTGCTATTGGACAACATACCTACTATTATATTATACTATTATCACCGACGCAAGTACAACCATAGCAGTGTGAGGCAAATTGAGGGAAATCATCAACTTGAGCAGAAGAAAAATGTATCAATTTTGCTGCCACTACCTACTGCTTGGTAAAAAAAAATGTTATTATTTTAGAAGGATTTTTGGCCAAATTAGAATTAATACATTCAAATTAAACTAATACTTACTTCAATTGTTTCTGGGTCAGTTACATCAGGATTTTCGAATAAATCCCTTGCTCCCTCGTAATTCCAGTTCTCTGGAGGAGGATATTTGTTTTTATCTATACTCTTTAAAATATCCTCAATACATTTATGTTGCCTTATAAGATCTATGGACTTTTTAGGGCCTATTCCTTTAATTGAGTCGGTATAATCACATCCCATCAAAATACATAGATCTATAAATTCCTTTTGACTCAGCTGCATTTCTCGTAAAACGACATCAAGGTGTATTTCCTGTATAGGCATTTTCCTTGCTTCACTAAAAGTCAGATGCCTTAGAAGCACATTAGATCCAAATGTTAAGGCGTCCATATCCTCAGTGGCTGTAGCAAATATCTTGCCTGCCTTGACCATAGCTGCGCATTGAGCTTCAGCTTCACATGGAGCTTCAATATAAGGCACTCCCATAAGTTTCAATAATTCCTTGCACTCATTCGCATGTTCCCTAGTAACTTTCACCAAACGCTTATTGAATTTATCTACTTCAGCCTGGTCTCCAGCTTCCATGGCCTTGTCTAACGCTTTCTGAGCTTCTGCACGCTTTTCCATACGTTTATTCAATTCGCCTCCTTTCATTTCTGGAGGTTTACCATCGAAAACGTATACAGGCTTGATGCCATTTTCCAAGAGTCTGATAGTGCGGTAAAACGTGCCTACTAGGTGAGAGGTAGTTTCACCATCCGCATTGGTAAGTTGGGCCCCCTCTGAACGCACTGCTATTAAGAATTGGTAGAGGGACATGGAAGCGTCGATAGCGATTTTTCGACCTAAATAATTAGGTGTTAAAAAGGTAACTAAATTGATGTGGACTTTACTCACCAAAATAGGTCTTTAGTTCTGTTTCTTTGATACATTGAGGAGCAACATCGGCCAAAAGTTTTGTTAAATGTAAAATACCCATATTGACTTATAATTTAATTCGAAAATTGATAAAAAAGGCTTGAAATTTAATTGCCGGAAAAAATAGAAAAAAACACAATACACATAGAAAACCGTAAACAAGTTAATTTCCCGCGCACATGTTGAGACCAGTCAAAGTCAAATAATAACACTGACAGGTGTCAAATGATGGACGCTTTCGAGACTACTAGGGATTTCATTTGTCTTTGCTCTATTTTTGTTAAATTCATTGATGAAGTACCAATTTAACACTTCGTGCGTGTATTCCGAAGAGGTATTTAGTAGAGGACTCGCATATTTCCAAGAAACGAAGAAACTTGGCAAATTGCCCGAAGCTTCACAGATCCTTATCCTGCCCTCGTTCTGAGATCTTTCAAATAAAATTTCCTCTCGTTCTATTCTACTCCCGGACCGCATATTGGAACGTAGCTCTAGACGAGCACTTTTCAAAATTCCCTCAATCTTAGCTTGAGCCAAGCACACGACGATAGCTGCTTTCCAGGCTGTGTGCTTCAAGCACGGTGCAGCACAGTGTTCTGTGTTTGAAACGCAAAAGTTAGCAGCTCTCGAAGCGCAGTACGGCTGGAACACGAACACGCGCTTGTAGCACTAGTTGTATTCCTTTCAAGAGTTTAAAACACTAGAGCTACTCGCTCCGGTGTTAGTCGATCCCGATTTGAAAGGAACAGATGCGCTGGTTTTCATGCATTTAAATGATTTGATTCGGGCTTGAGCGCTCAGGTGCAACAAACACTTTTTGAAAGGAATAAGCGCGTAAAGCCTCGGAGTTGTTCCGGAGCTCCTCTAGGTGTGAAAGGAATACAACTATTTGCGTGCGCAAAAGCTCGATTGCGTGCTCAAAAGCGTCAGCTGGAAAGCGGCTTATGAATACCGGGCTAAGGGCGGGTATTAGACACTTTACACGTTAAGCGCCATGGCGGTCCCTAGGGACCGCCAAAGGAAATACCCCATACGCCATGGAGGTCCCTAGGGACCGCTGCGTATTTATTCCAAATTATTTGTCGCAGAAGCCAGCGGTCCGTTCCTATGCCTGTTTGAGCATGGTAGGCGGACCTCTCTGGCCTGTGCGGCATGCACACCTATGCGAACTTTTTGATTCGAAAAAATATTCGTGTTTTTTTTAAATTTTTATTGCAACGTGTACAATTTTGTTAAAATACAGAGCAAACTAACTGATAGATTCTTGTAAACAACAGAAGAAGCAGGAAATAATTAAATAAAATAAGAAAAACAATAACAACAGTAGATAACACTAATCTACTTGTGACACTCATTGAAGCAGTCCAAACAGTAGTGCGGATTTTCGTCACAATTGCCGCAATATGTGGTTACTTTTGGCACTTTATTTTTGGGAATGAATCCTTTGAGTTTTTTTTCATAACAGCCTTTACAGTAGCGCCTAACTTTATGGGCGATGCCTTCTTTTTTTTTCAGTACATGAACCTCTCTTTTTTTTCCGGATTTTGACGTAGATGGCCTATTGATCTCCTCTTCCTCAGCTGGAAACATGAAACTTTCTACGATGCTTTCTTTGAAATCAGTAATAGACATGGATTGGTCATTTATAGATTTATATAGAAAATGAGCGTTAACCAAGGCAGTACCAAAGATCAGTTCAATCGCTATTTTCCTGTACCACTTCACCGTTTTCCTTAGTGCGTTGTTGTAGCTTGCCATTTGATCCGATAAGTCGATTGAACTCTTAGCCTTGTTGTATTCCATCACAGCTATTGGTTTCTCTATATCGCCAGTGCGCCTATGTACAATAACAGTTTGATCTGCATGCTTTGTTGAAAGCATGAGAACATCTCTCTTGTCTCTCCACTTCAAAATACAAATACCCCGACTATTTTCTTTCACAGCAATTTCTCCAGGCCTTAGTTTTTTAGTTGTTACTTCCTTCGGGTTGCCTCTTCGATTTGACCTTAGAGTCCCCAGAAGATGTGTTTTTTTATCCAACAACTTGTTCGCTAGCTCTAAGCTGGTATAATAATTGTCGGTCACGACTGTACGTCCAGAGTCCAAAAGTTTCTGTGAAAGTGTCATAACGACATTAGTCGGAACAGAAATTTCAGCATCTCGGTGCTTGCCACAGTATAATTTTATGTTCCACGTATAACCGTTATCAGAACAAAGTTTGAATAATTTAACTCCATATTTATGGGTTTTATTTGGAATGTACTGTTTCATAATAAGTCTTCCTCGAAATGGAATTAAACTTTCATCTATGCAGAATTGTTGCGAGGGTGTGTATGCCCTTTGAAATTTTTCGATCAATAAATTCATGAACGGCTCAATTTTATATCCACGATCGCCCTCAGGACACATATCGTTGTCTGTGAAATGCCAGATATTCAGAAGAAGCTCGAAACGATTTCGACTCATAACTTGTCCAAATACGCTATTTTGATATAGTCGTTTGCGTTTACTCCAATATGTTTCTAGTCTAGGTAGTTTGACTAACCCCATGTAGCCTACTATACCCAGAAACTTTTTCATTTCCCCTACGTTTGTTGGTGTCCAAGCATGGAGACGGCTATTCGCCGTAATATCATCAGCATTTATAAGCTTCTGTGTCGCATAAAGATTTGTATGGTCTGTCATAATTTTTAGGATTTCATCATCCACAAAAAATGAAAAAAAATCACTGGGACATGAGCCTATTAGTGCTGCAGCAATTTCTGGGTTGACACCAGTGTTTTCAGGGTTGAATATAAATTTTTGATGATTTCCCACAGGATTACTCCATTCAATATTGTACGCGTCTACAGTTATTTGTTCGTTTTCATCACTATCGAGAACGTCTGGAAGAATACCTGGTATTTGCTGAATATTTTCTTCCACCTCATGCTCCGGAGTTACGAGAGTGGCTTCTGGGATTGGGTGTACTTCAATAGATTCATCTGAACCTCTTTGAAGTAATCCGGCGGGTATTTTGTGTACATCGATTTCGTTTTCCGAATCACTTTCCGACTCAGTTTCGTTCAACTGGTATGTTGGATCTTCCATAGAATCCGAAGAACAGTGATAAGGATCCTCAGCCTCACTTGCACTCGAAGACGAATCTAAAACCAATAAATTTTATACTACAGCACGAAAAAAATAATTCAATGTTCTTACCATCGCTAAAGTTCGATTTCCAACTCTTTTTTGCAAGTTCTAAAATGCGTTTTGTACGCTGACTCATTATAAAACAGGAAACGAGAAGATTTTACACACTGTAATACTTGACCTGCACACTTCGACAGTCCAAGTGCGACCACACTGTTTACCACCGACTCATTTGCGCAACGGAAAAAATCTGGCTGCGCGAGGCTCCGAGCACAAATCAAGGTTAACGGGGACCGCTGGACGGACCGCTATGGCGCATGCGGAATATAGTTCCGCACACGCCACGGCGGTCCCTAGGGACCGCCAGAAAAAAAAAATTGGAATTGCCAAAAAATAACTGTCAAAATCAAAATTACAGATGTTTTCATGAAATTTGTAAACTAATAAACCAATAAAAGACAAAATTATTACTTGGCCCAGGGGGCCCTTTTTCAACATTTTGCCTGGCGCTTAACGTGTTAAGCAAACGTTAAATTTTTCTACGTATCCGTATTCGCATCCGGAAACGCATCGAATTACGTAAAGCGCCTAAGGGCGGGTATTATAAAACTGCTTTGACAGTTAACTTGAAGTTAACTTTTTGAATTACATGTAATTCCAGAAGTTAACTTAAAGTTAACTCTCAAAGTAGTTTTATAATACCCGCCCTAAACCTTTTAAGCATGGCCATACAATACGTAAACGATCGTATCCTTGGATGAAACGTTTTCTAACCTCAAAAAGTGATGCATTGATTTTGTAGCTGTGTTTTTTAGGTTTTCTTTTTATTTATAAGTACTGGGTTTATGTTGTTAAAGCTATTTTAGTGATAACTGATAAGAAGATCTCTCAATAGTATGAAATGATTGAGATACGTTTTCGGATACGGATACGAGGCTAGGCCCGTAACGATACGGACAACGCAACGAAACCACCGTATCTATTCTGAGCATGCGCAGATCGATGCGGATACGGATACGTTTGAAATTCAGGACCTGCTTAAAGTGTCTATTAAAATCTGTTTTTTTTTTAGAGATAAAAGTCAAACTGACATTATGTTGGCAATACAATGTAAAATTGTCAATGCTTCAATTTTTTTAAGTAGAAAAGGCTTGTGTTGCCAACATAGTTACTAAATTTTTAACTTGGGGAATTATCTTTAAAAAAAAACCGACTTTATAAAACTACTTTGACAGTTAACTCAAAAATAACTTCTGGAAATACATGAGGAGGAAGGAGTTAACTTTAAGTTAACTGTCAAAGTAGTTTTATAATACCCGCCATGAGTCGTTCCAAAATGTAGCGACTTTGTACAGGTTGAACCTGATCGTTTGTTTCAAAGAAAAATTTCATCTTTATCCATTATGAACTCTGCAAACCAAACACTCAACCCAAATAATCCACAAAAATCGTACTGAATACTGTTACGACCCTCACCATCAAATTTTGGGCCTGCAAGTGACGTCATTATCAGAAGCTTATAATGATGACGTCACCCGTAGACCTCGATGGAACGCTTGCGATTCAGGCTGTGCTAGTGAGTTAATTTCATAGAAAAGTGATTTATATTCTTTATATAGAACGCTCACTTCTGTTGTAATCACCAAGTGACATTTTCGACGAGGCCTCTTACGTATTTTCTTGTTTAAACTGTGGTAGTTTACGCGTCTCCTACGTACATAAATCTACGTTTACGCCAAAGCAGAACTTCTCGTAAAGTAATACTTGTTAAGTCATAAAAAGAGGCAGACGAACGTGTCGTGAAGATACCTCAAAACGGAACACAGCAAACAACGTAGCTTGCCGTGAAACAAAAAGGAATGGTATGGGCGCTTACAGCATGGATACTTATGATTTACAGAGTTTCAGGAGTTGCAAAGTTGCCAACTGCTAAATGGATCAAAAAATTAGCTATCTGTATCTGGCTTTTTTGCTTTTTCAATAATTTTAAAACTTCCCGCGGCGACGCCAACGGCGACTGAAGGACCGGCGCCGGCGCACCGGAA